ATGACAAAGAGATCAGAGCAGTGGTGAATTCTGTTTTTGTACGGGAGCGGTCAAGGCTCTTCCAACTTCAAGTGATAGAAACACAAATTGGCATCAGCCCAAAAGGAATTTATTGGTCCATATAACTGAAAAGTCTGGAGTGAGGTGGCTTCAGTCTGACTAGGTTGGATCCAGATCTTCAGATGTGAACAGGTCTCCCTCTTTGTCCCCTCATCTCTTGACTCTGCTTTCATCTGTGTTGGCTTCATTCTGAGGCAGACTCTCACTGAGGTAGCCGAAGGGGCAGCCAGTAACATCAGGAGATGTATAATCTCAGCAACCCTAATGGAGAACTTCTTTTCCTCAGTGGTTCCAGCAGAAGTCCAGTGAAGACTTTCCTTGACCAGTGGACTTGCCATGTCTACTTCTGGAGCCAAGGAAGACAGTTAATTTTCCAAAGGGAACTCAGGGGCTGGTATCAGAAGATGGGCATGGATGGTTGGCAGCAGATCCACCAAAATCCATCACAGTGTAAGGTGCCTTGGAATAGTCAGCGTGATGCCTCTTTCCTGGCCCATGTCACTAACCGAGGTCTCCCCTTCTCATTGCTGCCAACCGCCCAGGAAAAGAGGTAGCCAGGGACCTCTGGCCCTTTGACGGAAGAAGCCATATCACTCTCCTCTCTAGTCACCATCCAGAACAAATACCCAACATCCTTCTCCTGTCCTAAAAGCAACTGTTTGTTTCTCTGAAGCCCCCAGTGTTTACTGAGGATTGTCACAGCCATTGTTGGGCACTAGATCCTCTCTGCCAGTCATGTTCCCTGAACAACTGGGCAGCTTGAAGGTACAAACCAGAGAGGCCTGAGGGAAGGACAGTTCACAGACTTCTGGTCTTTTCCCAGTGTGTGTCCATCTGGTCCAAGGACTGCAGGCCACGTGCTTTGTTTGTTCCTCATGGTGGTTCACTGTTGCTGTTTTAATGTGAATTAGTTTCCAATATTTAAAAATAGGGGAAATTTTATTTAAAAGTCCAGATTTCCGGTTCCCCTTTAAAAAAAAAAAAAAATCTAAAACCTAACAACACTGGACCCACATTCCCACATGGCAGCAGTTGATTAGAGCTAAAATCACGACTTCTCCCTTTAGATAGGGTATGTGCTTTCTAACTCACCATAGTCCTCACCAGCCTGCTTCATTCAAAACCTGGACTTAATAAGTGTCATATTTGAGACCCCGCTCTGTCCCAAACCTTTGCTTATAGCATTTGGCTTGGGAGAAGATTCTGGTCGTCCGCTTATTTGGGAGGCACAGTGCTGTTGCTTTGGAAAACTGACAACCCAGAAAAAGTTTATGGGAAAGAGTGTGCACAACTTTGGTCTCTTTGTGGATTTGGTCATCTTTTTGCCGTACATGTTGTTGGCATATCAAACCTCTCGTCACAAATGTTCTGTCTGAAATAGTAACATGTCCTTCTATCCTATGAGTTGCCACCCAGTGAAGGAATCCCTCCCACTCCCAAGGGATGTTCATGTAGCCTCCACTTGACCACTTCCAGCAGCCAGGGAGCTATTACCTTCTCACGTGGCAGCCAGTTCCATTCTTGGATAGATCTATTATTTTAAAATTCTTCCTTATGTTAAGGCAGATGCTGTCTCCTTAGGGCTGAAATCCACAAAATGTTGGAGGTAGGAAGAGAAACTGATTTTTCAGGCATGTGAACTACCACTCATCCATCCTGCATCCAGGGCAAACATTGATAATCAGTCACAGTATTCTTTATCACTGAGCCAGATAGTAGAATGCAGCCTTAAAAAAAATTTTTTTTTAATTCTTTAAAAATTATAGAAGTAATACGTGTTTACTTGCAACTAGTGAAGTGCTACAAAGTTACATAAAGAGACTGTTAATAATTCCTCCTCTCCGAGGTAAACCAATGCGAACGGCCTAGGGTGTGTCTTTATACACATTTCTCTATACACATACACATGTAGATATAATGAGGTGTGTAAGGATTTTTGTATGGCTTTTTCTTTTTATAAAAATGACATTGTATTGTATGTATTACCATGGAGCTTATGATCAGCCCTGCAGGTTGGTGGTGAAAGATCAAACACTATATATAGATGTAAACATGCTATGTTTTTTGTATGCTATCAGAATCAAGTATGTTTTTAATAGCTACGTAATATCTCTTTGTATGAGGTGTGCCCCAGTTGACTAATCCTTGCCCTTTGATGGATACTCCTGTTGCTTCATTTCTTCTGGATCCTTCACACCATAGTGCCCCAACCAGCCACTACCAGTCGTTGGGAGTTAGCCTGTGAGGTAAAACCCATTTGTCGTGTCTGATCCAGTCTGACTCCTTATCTTACACATTGTAGAGAAGGGAAGCGGACCAGCTCCAGGTCAAAGTGAATCAGTGTCTAGGGCAAGACTAGAACTGAATTTTCTTGACTCTCAACATTTCCCATGTCCCCTCTCACTTAGAGCCATCCACCCTGGTTCTCCTCTGGAGCAAAAGAACAAATCTAATTCCTTTCCTGTGTGCTACCCCTTCAGATATTCAAAGTCAGCTATGTCATTCCTTCTAAGTCTTCTCTTCCACCGGGGAAATTTCCTCAGTGCCTTCAAACTTCTCTTAGGACAGAGTTTCCAAGTCTGTTTCCCATCCTATGGGCCATTCCTTCTGTCATCTTCTCCGGGGCTGTAGAAATCCCAATTGTGGCTTCCATGCTCACCTTATTTATTCATTCTTTCAGCAAATACATACTGAAAACCGTCTGTATGCCAGTCACCATTCTGGGCACTGGGTAACCATATAGCTTGTGCTTTGGTGGAAAGAGAAATAACAAACAAATAATATCTGAGGGTGTCAAATTATATAGAAGAAATAGCCTAAATAGTGTGACAGACCCCTTAAATCCGATAGTCAGGGAAGCTCTCTCTGAGGAAGTAACATTGAGCTGAGACCTGAGTGACAAGTAGGGGCCAACCATAAATAGGTCTGAAGAAAGAGTTCTAGTGAATAGAAAACTTGTACCAGATGAAATTGGAGAGGCCACAGGAGTCTTGCAGGGACCTGTAGACCAAGATCCATTCAGTTTTAGTTTAGGTTTAGTTTAGGAAATCATTGGAGGATTTTAAGCCAGGAGCAACATTTGATTCCTTTTTAAAGATGTCTTGGCGTGCCTGGGTGTCTCAGTCTGTTAAGCGTCCAACTCTTGATTTCAGCTCAGGTCACGATCTCGCAGTTTGTGAGATCAAGCCCCGCATTGGACTCTGTCCTGAGGGAGCCTAGGGACCCTAGCCTGCCTGGGATTCTCTCTCTCCCTTTCTCTCAGCCCCTACTCTGCACATGCATGCTCACTCTCTCTTTCCATCTCTCTCTCTCAGAATAAATTTAAAAAAATAAAAAATAATAAAAAGATTTCTGGGGCACCTGGCTGGCTCAGTTGGAAGAGCGTGCAACTCGATCTCACAGTCTTGAGTTCAAGCCCCGCATTGGGTGTAGAGATTAATCAGAAAAGTAAATAAACTTAAAAAGATTTCATTTTCCCCTACACTTGCCCTTATATGCAAAGGGATTGACATCTGGGTCAGTTTGCTTTGTTCAGGTGTCCCAGAGAGGATCTGCCAGGTGAGTCATAGCCATTGTCGGATGCACCTCACAGCGCTCTTCAGCAAGAGGATGGAAGTTCAGGGAGGTGGCAAGACACGAGCCCAGCAAGTTCAGTGGGTCTTTGTGTGGAGTTCTCAGTCCGTGGAGCCAAATGTGGTTTGGGGATAGAGCCAAGGCACTGGTTGTGGGACAGACCAGGAAATGCGAGTAGAGACCTGGAGCTCGAGACACTTAAAAAAAGGCTTCGGAGTAGTGTCCAGAAATCAGTCAACTGAAGAATAGGCCTGTTGTCTGCCCAGTTAACACAGCTCCTGTGTAGTTCCCATCCAAGAGAGGAATTTGGACACTTTCTAGCTCGGGAGTTTTTTACTTTGGATGTGACCCTTCTCAAGTTGGCATCCTCCATGCTCTTAGGAGTCTGGATGACAGGCATCTTTGGAAGCCAGGAGACTTGGGTCAGGGTAGCCTTCAGAGGAATGAAGAAGAGGTCTGGGGGAGACTCACCTCAGAGCAGAGATGAGTGGGATCTTAGAGATCAGAGCTGCACCTTTTCCAGAGTGGCAGAGCTGGGTTGAAGGAGGTAAGATTCCCCCAAATCTTTAAAAAAGCCTTTGTCCATGCCCCTACCCTTGGGCACCTAGGCAGTTACTGATCACTTAGCTGTCTGCATACTCGAGATCTCCACTGAGGTCACCACCCACTCACATTCTAGCTTTATGAGTCTTAGATTGACATACATAAACTCCATGGAGTCCTCTTAGCAGGTGAGCAATCACTCTTTCCCACTCTCAGAAGAGGTAGGTCAGGGCATGTGCTGGGGGTCACATGTCACATAAGGCCAGGTTTCCATTAATTCAGATCTTTCCCTGTAGTGTGCAGCCTCTCCTATTTCCCATTGTTGGAAAATCCTACCAACTTAATTCTGCTTCCTTTGGCCCTTTGATAGCTAGGACTGAGGGGCAACCTCTTCTCCTTAGTCTTGCTGAGTCCCAATCACGTGTTTTTTCTACATCTGGAGATTGGTGGGAAAGTTGGTTTAGTGTCTGGTGTTGGCTTCCTCTTTCTCCCAGGAGCTCAGCAGAGCAGACACCCTAGGAGAGGAAGGCATAAAGCCTCCTTACTCTCTCAACCTGCATTCACCAGGCCAGTTCCAGCCCTTTCATTCTGTCTGACCACCTTCCTTCCTTTTCTAGGAGCCTGGAGAGGTGTGGCTGGACCAAGACCTCCCCCGATGTGAGCAGGTTTCCTCCTCCCCCCACCGCCCGTTGCCACCACGCCAGGGAACGTCCTCAAGCCCTGGCCCTCAGGGGAGAGGTAACAGGAGCTCTGAGCCGAGACCATGTGACGGCGCTGGCCCTCGCCACCGCCGTCCCCCCCACCCTGGCCCCAGGCCCGGCACCATGATGTTCCGCGACCAGGTGGGCATCCTCGCTGGCTGGTTCAAGGGCTGGAATGAGTGTGAGCAGACGGTGGCCCTGCTGTCACTTCTGAAGCGGGTCACTCGCACCCAGGCCCGGTTCCTGCAGCTCTGCCTGGAGCACTCGCTGGCGGACTGCAATGACATCCACCTGCTAGAGTCAGAGGCCAACAGTGCTGGTGAGTCTCCACCCTGGAAGAGGAGCAGATATCAGAGGGCTGAGGAGGCCCACCCCACAATGTGCTGAGAAATGTGGGTTCTCAGCTTGTTGGTGGAGGGGGAGTCCCTGACCTCCCAAGTCATCATCATTGGTCTCCTGGGGCTTTGTTGCCAGATATCCTCAGGCATGAAATGAGGGGCTACTGGCGGATGGCAGTGCAAACTGGAAACAACCTATAGCAGAGGAAGAGCTATGTAGGGTGGCTTGTCTGGGCGACTGAGAGGAAGGGACTAAGGTCATTACTTACGAAAGGGGATTGGAAGCTGAACAAATAAGTCATTTCTCAAGCTCTGGGACACCAGAGCTAGGAGAGAATTTTAGAAATTCACAAGTAATCTTAAACTGTTCTGTAGGCACAAAGGTAGGTTGGACTTAAGGCATAAATAGCTTCAAGAGAATTTTAATTTAGGTATAGTCCGTATCAGTTCCCTAAGCACTCAGTAGAGTGTGTACCAGGAGCCTGGTGAGCCAGGCTTCTCTAGAACTCTCTCAGGGGCCCCAGTCATAGACAGGAGTCAGACCAGAGAACCCTCTCAGGACACACTGCTGAAGCCATTCTGGCCTCTAGGCTTCCACAGGGCGGGATGGAGAGCTGTTGACCTCAGTGATGGGTGAGAGAGATGGAGGCCAGAGAAGAGGACATTTCGTGCGTACTTGAAGCTAACTGGAAAGGGGACCCAGGGGCTCCGTGTCCGTGCATCCAAACCCTTCCCACCTTCTCCCCCATAATAATAGCTCACGTTAAGCCCTTAGGACACACCAAGTACTGGCTGTACTTATATACTAACTTGGAAAGCAGTGTTTTTTAGTGGCTCTAGGGTCAGACTGTCTAGGGTTAGATCCCAGGTCTGTCATTTGCAATATAACAAAGTAACTTTCTGAGCCTTGGTTTCTTCCTCTCCAAAACCAAGATAGTAACTATGCTTACATTTTAGGGTCGTTGTGAGCTTTGAGAACAGTGCCTGGCATGTAGTAAACACTCAGTAAATGTCAATTGTTTTTATTGTGAATAACTCATTTAGTCCTCACAACAACCCCATGAAATTGGTACTGTTATTTTCCCCATTTCATAGGTAAGGAAATCCCCATGGGCTGCTAGGAGCCACAGAGTTGCCTGGCTTCCCTCATCTCCCCAGGCCCATTGCCTTCGTAACAATCCCCTTTATTTTTCCGAATATTTACGTATAAGTCAGAGAAGCACCATGGTTATAGGGTGAGGTGGCTCCTCGGGCCAGGACTCACACCGGCTTTAAGTCCCAGTTCTGGCAGACAGTGAGAGCAAGAATCTAGCAAGACTACAGCAGGCTCAGAGCTCAGCAGCTTCACACCCCTCCACACCAGGGAGGGCTCATCTCTGCTCTGACATCGGTGGCAGGAGTTCTTGGTTGTGGTATGGCTGTGCCCCCAAGTAGGGCTCCTGTGGGGCAGGCCATTTTCTTATGCAGCTTTGTCACACTTCCCTACCACCCCATCCTGTGAAGGCAGTTGGATGAGCACTAAGTACCAATCTTGTCTGTATCTCAGAATCACCAGTGGTGTTTATTCTATTTATTAGAGCATGTTTAATTTTTGCATTTGTTTTCAAAACTTGTAAAATCAAACCCTATGAAAAGTAAAAAGTGAGATCTCCTCCCTTCCATACTTCCATCTTCCCAATTGGTGTATGTTTTGTGAGAGATTCTGTGATGTATGAGTATGCACATAGTCTCCCTTCAGCTTTTTCATTATTTTGATCATTTGTTTAAAATGTTTTAATGTTTTATTTATTTTTGAGAGAGAGAGAGTACGAGTTTGGGAGGGGCAGAAAGAGAGGGACACACAGAATCCGAAGCAGGCTCCAGGCTCTTAGCTGTCAGCACAGAGCCTGACATGGGGCTCGAACCCACGAGCCTGAATGAAGATCATGACCTGAGCTGAAGTTGGATGCTTAACTGACTGAGCCACCCAGGCACCCCGTTTTGATCTTTTTTTTTTTTTTTTTAAGTTTATTTAGTTATTTATTTTGAGAGAGAAAGAGCATGTGTAAGGGAAGGGGCAGAGAGAGGGAGAGGGAGAGGGAGAGGGAGAATCCTAAGCAGGCTCCACGCTGTCAGCGCAAAGCCCTGAAACCAAGAGTTGGCTGCTTAACCAGCTGAGCCACCCAGGCGCCCAGATCATTTTAATATATAGAGTAGAACACTGTGCATATTAACCAATTTCATTTAACAGTGTAACTTGAAGATCATTTCATATTCAGCACACATGTATATGCCTCATTGTTAATGGCTGCGTAATAAGAAGAATAGGTATTTATAGCCTACCTGGGTATCAAACAGTTCTTTACGTTTATTACTCATTTAGTCTTCACAACAGCTCTGTGAGGTAGTCTTACTGTTCCCTCATTTTATAGATGAGTAGACTGAGGTCTGGAGAGGTTTAGTGACAAGGAGACTGAGGTCTGGAGAGGTTTAGTGACTTGCCCTGGGTCATACCACTGGTCACAGATGGAACTGGAATTTGACTTTAGAGCTCTTGCTCCTGACCAGTAGGCTCTACTTTATGGTCTGTCTGGTCTCGCTCATACAAACAGTGCTGCGATGAGTACCCTTTAAGCATCTCTAAGATAAATTCCTAGAATTCTGTGGAACTGCTAGTTTGAAGTGATGTGGATGTAAAAGATTCCTGGTTACCACATCGCCTTAAAAAGACACGGCACCCTTTATACCAAGAACCTGATGCTCCTCCCAGATGGTTTGCACTGGGATTTGGGGGTAATGCCTAGCCAGGGTTGAGAATTGATGTGGAACGAATTCACTGATGAATGAAAATAGGAATCAAGGTCTTCAGCCGCAGCCCCAGGTTAGATGGCAAGAATATATAACAAGCTGGTACTTAGATGGAGAGGTAGGGAAAACTTAGAATGAGAGAAGGAGGGCTATGGTGTATATCAGAGTCAGCAAGAAACCTGCCAGGACTAGAGCAGAGCATGACTAGAGAGAGAAGTAGTCACAGAGGCAAATTCTGCAGACCGTTAAATGACTCTTAATGGACATGGGGACTCTGGGGCACCTGGGTGGCTCAGTCGGTTGAGCATCCGACTTCAGCTCAGGTCATGATCTTGGAGTTTCTGAGTTCAGGCCCCACATTGGGCTCACTGGTGTCAGCACAGAGCCTGCTTTGGGTCCTCTGCCCACCTCTCTTTGCCCCTGCCCTGCTTGCATGCACACTTGCTTGCTCTCTCTCAAAAATAAACAAACACTAAAATAATAATAATAATAATAATAATAATAATAATAATAGACATGGGGGCTCCAAGACTAAGGAGGCCTGTGTCTCCTGTCTCGGTCCCTCCCTCAAGTAGAACAGCCCCCTTGCCTTATTTGTGAAGGAAATAGCTTCTTCCTGGGCCTAGAGGCCTACCTTGTGGGAGGAACTGTGCATCCTCTGACTTTATCTCTTCCCTTGTTTGTTATGGGCTTCCCATTCCCTTGCGTTTCCCAAACTTGCGTCATTGTCCACATCACCTGGTGGGAGGGAAGTGACTCTTAAAATCCAGCCTCCCCACCGCCCCAACCCTGACCCAACCCCTGAAATCAGAATCCTGAGGGGATGGGCCTGGGAACACGTATCCAAGTTCTTCTGCTGACTAGACAGTTTGAGAGATGATGCTCTGCTGGATGATTCATTTGTTACAGGACATGAGAATAGGAATCAGAACATCCAGGAGTTCTAGATCCAACTCTGCCACTAAAACCTCTTGTGCATTGGACCAGTTCCACCCCTCTTGAGCCTGAGGATCCATAACTCTCCAAGTGCCTCTTGGGCTCTGAAATAACGTACCAAAGAAGGTAGAGCCACAGCCAAGCATATAACTTTGGGGGCTCAGCACATTTTTCTAAAGGAATAGCTCTTAATATTTTATGAGATGGGGGGTGCCTGGGTGACTCAGTCAGTTGAGTGTTCCAACTCTTGATTTTGGCTCAGGTCATGATCCCAGGATTGTGGGATCGAGCCCTGTGTCAGGCTCTGCACTTAGTGTACAGCCTGATTAAGATTCTCTTTCTCTCTCTCTGCCCCCTCCCCTGTGCTCACTGTCTTTTGAAAAAAAAAGTGGGGGAGGGGCGGAGGGAGGAAGGAAGGAAAGAAAGAAATGGGCAGATAGGAGACCTGGTGGCTAGTTCGATAAGCATCTGACTCTGGATTTCGGCTCAGGTTATGATCTCACAGTTTGTGTGATTGAGGCTTGCATCAGGCTCTGTGCTGACAGCACAGCACGGAGCCTACTTGGGATTCTCTCTCTCTCTCTGCCCCTCTCCTGCTCATTGCATGTTGCACACTCTTTCTCTCCCTCCCTCTCAAATAAAATAAACTTAAAAAAAAAAAAAAAAAAGGCAGGGAGTACAGACGGCTTGATCTAGGCGAGTCCCAACCCTGGCTTCATGTCAGAATCACTCAGGGACTCTATAAAAATAATCTGAGGCCTGGGTCCTATCCCCAGCGAGTCTAATATTTTTTAAGCTCCCTAGTTGGCTCTTGCGTGCATCCAGTGGAGAACCACTTGTCTTGATACTGACGCTGATGCTGGGTGGGCCCAGGAAGGTGGTGACCTGCTGGGAGTGGGGAGTTGGGGCTGTAGAAGGGGAATCTGGTCTGGGCTCTTCCTCTCAAGCAGTTGGGAGGGTTCAAGGAAGTCCCCCAAACCCAGGCAGCCAGCATTGGTTTCATAGAAGCAGAATCTGAAACAATACCCAGGAACAGAAAAGCAATACCCTAAGGGTCTGTGGAACAGGAAGGAGAGGCCCCAGGTTTCCCCTTGTTGTCATCCCTGTTGCTTCTCCCAATGCTGTCTTCCCTGCCTGTGTGGAGCTGTAACAGTAATGCTAGTCCTCTCTTTCCTCCTGATGCTGACTTGGACCAAAAGAATAGAGCCAGGGAAGCTGAAATCCCCTTCCCTCCCAGGTCCTTCAGCTTCCTAGGCCACATTTCCTGCATTTCTTTACTCCTCCTGTCCTCTGAGTCAGAGTCCCTGTATCCAGCAGGTTTAAGCTCCTCCCTATCTGGCTTACTGAATCTGGGTGGGGAAACTGAGGTCAGGAGGGGGCCGTGGCTGAATGAGTCACCGGAGCTCAACTCTCATGCCTCCACCCTCCCTTTCAAGCTCTACTGACACAGTTCATCAAACAAAAATGTGAGCCCCCTGGCCCTCCCCCATGTTTGTGTGAGCTGGGGTGAGATAGAGAAGGGCATGTTTGCAGCCAAACCCCAGCCCCTGTGACTAGTGCCTGAGGCTGCCACGATTATTGCAACAGCCCAGCACGTAAAAATGGATTTGCTCTGTGGCAGTCTCCAAGATATATTTGGCTCCTATGATTTGCCAGGACCCAGGGTCATGACCTATTTAGCTTTGGTCACCTGGCCAAGGAGGGTACTCATGCACAGTGTCTCTGGTCCTCTCCGTGCCTGCAGAATCTGGGTTTGCAGCTTGGTGAGAAGCAGCCATTGGCATCATGGCATTCCCAGCCCCCTCCCCCATCCGCCCACCTCCAGAATTTCATCATTGCTTGTTGTACGTCTAGCTCAGAGGAACCAGAGATATGTCTGTTTTTGGTAAATAACTGCACGAAATCCCCCGCCCCTGTTGGGAATCTTAAGGGGGAGTCCCAGATGTGCCCTCCCATATTACTTGCTCCCCACAGCCCTGAAACAGCGTGGGCTCTAGATCTTCAAGCAAAAGCAAGGACAATAACGTTTAAAATGACAGGAGTACTTAACACGTGTCAGGTGCTTTGCATGATTGTCTCATTGAACCTTTACAACAACCCTGTGACATAGTGGCTTTTACTGCCCCCACTATACAGAAAAGGAGACCAGGCTCCGAGAGGTTAAAGGACTGGCCCACAAATATGTTGACCTAGCTCATAGAAGCAGAGGTAGATTTTGAATCCAGGCAAGTTTGCCTGTTGAACTTGTGCCCTTACTCAGTATACTCTGTTAGGATATGAAACAGGGTCACCTGAGGTCAGGGGATCCTCGAGAGGGCACGCTATACACACATAGACACCACTACCTTCTAGGAGACCATCTGGGTTCAATTCTGCAGGTATTCATTGGGCCCCCGCTGTGCCCCAACTCTGGGCCAGACTTTTCTGATCTGAGCAGGAAACGAAGTTTCATCCCCACCCGTCATCTGCAGCCCCAGCTGGGCTCACCCCAAGGGGCCTGAGGCTGCGCAAATTCCTTGGACCAGATCCAGTGCTCACTGATGCTTCCCAGTCATGGGAGGCCCGCCCTCCCCACCACACCGCTACACAGACACATGAGCACACATTTCCCCAGGGTCAGCCTCCAGTCGTCCAAAACCACTCTCTCCTTTCTCCATGGTAGAATAAGGTCCTTCATTGAGCCCAACCCTTGGGGCTGTTCTGTCACGTCCCCTGGCAGTACCAGAGGAGAAGCTGTGTCCCTTAGCCCTGGGGTCCTGGCAGTATCCTGGGGTGGGGGAGGGACTAGACAAGGCTTCTCTCTGTCCCAGATGCCTCTGGCTACTCTGTAAGGCCTAAACAACAGCGATTGAGAACATCAGGGTAGGGCTGGAAGGAGTAGGCTGACTGTTGGAGGAGAAGGGAGAAAAACACCAATCACTGAGTCATACTGAGTGCTTACTGTGGGCAGAGTCTGTCAGGTGCTTTACATGCACTGTCTCCCTAAATCCTCTCAGCAGACCTGTAATCCCTCCCTTCCAGAGGAGGAAGTGTATTGCCCAGGCAACTGCATAACACAGCTGGGATATAAGTCTTTGACTTTCTGTCCCTAATCTTCATCACGCTATTTCTCCTCATCAAGAGCCAAAAACTCAGGGATTAAGCCAGGGGAATGGGGTACCAGGGTATTCATTCCTATATGATCTAGTGCCATGTGGAGGTGGGGGGTGGGAAAGGTGAAGGCTTCCTCAAGTCAGGAAGGCCTGTCCCACCTTGGAAACATCCTTAGATATGGAGATGACCTAAGAGACAGCCTTGTAGTCATGGGAAGCTGGTTCAACAAGGTTTCCTAGCCTTGAGCGGTAGGTCCTGCACGAGATCAGGAAAGCCAAGGATGGCGGAGGGGGAAGGGGGTGGAGAACAAGAGATTTGGCATTGAAGAACTAGTATAGTGTTGTTGGTAAATGTTCCTCCCAATTCTAGAAGCTGACAGACCTGGGCTCAGGTCTTGGCTCTGTCTGTTTGAGAAAGTGATTCCACCTCCTGAAATTTAGTCCCTCATCCATAAGATGGCAATGTTTTTTGTTTGTTTGTTTAATGTTTATTTATATTTGAGAGAAAGAGCATGAGCAGGGGAGGGGCAGAGAGAGAGGGAGACTAGACTCTGAAGCAGGCTCTAGGCTGAGTTGTCAGCACAGAGCTTGATGTGGGCCTCGAACTCACAAACTGCGAGATCATGACCTGAGCCGAAGTCAGACGCTTAACTGACTGAGCCACCCAGGTGCCCCTTTTTTTGTTTTTAAATTTTTTTTAATGTTTATTTATATTTGAGAGAGAGAGAAAGAGCATGAGTGGGGGAGGGGCAGACATAAGATGGCAATGTTAAAAAGAGTTGAGGTGAGGTTCTTAGCATAGTGTCTGGAATATAGTAAGTGCTCAATAAATGGTATTCATTATCATTATTATTGTGTAGTATTACTGTTCTATTTTGGCCAGTACTATGGGCATAGCAGGAATTGATGACTCTGAATGAATAGATGAATCCCTGGGCACTTAAACAGAGGTTCTTTAGGCAGCTTAGAGCAGAGAGTCCCAGGCCAAGAGAATGCGCAGTTATACGGTGAGTTGGGAGTTGCGTATGATTCATTTTCTTAGGGCTACAGATGTTAAGTGTTTCCTTTGCCCTGTAGCATTTTCTCCCACCCTGCAGTCCATTGAGCTAGTCACAGAAGTGGTAACAAGGTTTTCAAGGAAGACCTGTAATAGCTCCTTCCCAAGGCCACCTTTATGTGGCGGGTCTGGGGCCTTATTACTTAGGGAGTGACCTTCTGGGTCAGAAGGGGAAACCTGGCTCATCTCCATGAGACAGATTTAGGCCCTCACACTGTGGGATAGGAAGGAGATGTCACCAGATCACTGTGGCATGGACTGGCCAGTGAGGCTTCCTGGAGGAGGGCAGGTTTAGGCAGTCCATTAAAAGACAGAATTCAAATGGGAGGAAAGATATTGTAGGTTCAAGCCTTGGATCTCAGTGTAAGTGGAAACTTGGATGAATGTGATGTGGAGAGAGCCCCAGGGAATGTGGGGGTATCCCACATCTTTATCTGGAGGAATAGGAGGTGGCGAGTGCCCTAAAAATGAAGGTGCTGTTGGCTAGGAGTTCCTGAACTTGAGTCTGTTGGTTGCCATTGGAAGCTCCTGGTCAGGAACATGACATTTGGTGTGCTTTTGAGAAGACAAATCCGTCTGGGTGAATGGGACCAATTGGAAGAGGAAAATCTAGAGGCTGGTCTCTACCACTTAAACAGCAAGCATTTAGTAAATATATTCTTTTATATGCCTGGCCACTTTCCATTCTTTATCAGCTTATTGGATCTCAGAGGAACACTGTGAATTGGGTACTGTAATTATCCCCAAAACTATTCAGGTTAGGAAATCCGTGTGCAGTGAGGTTCAAGATGACTTGCCCAAGATCTAGCTAGTAAGTTGGAGTCCAAACTGTCTGATTACAGAGCCCGGACTTTTAACCATTGTATTCCATTGTCATCCGCTGTCAGGGAGGAGGCTCTTCTGATAGGGGAAAGGAGATAGAGGCCATGGAGATAAAGAACAGGGATACAACGAGAAGGGCAGGCCTGGGGACAGCAGGAGGAGCTCAGATTCCAGAGTAGGAAGTTTGGCTGATTGGGGGGCCACAGCAGGTATTGGAGAGTAGGAGTGTTGGAACCAGGAAAAATTACTCTGGAAGTAGGGTGAGTGCATTTGGTCTCACCTGTATGAAGGACCAGCTCAGAGGTCAAGGGGTCATGAAGGGGGAAGGGAAAGGAGATTGGAGCTGAGGGAGCAGGCTGAGGGAGTCCCCTACCCTGGCTTCTCTGACATTCCCTTTGTTCCCTCTGTAGCCATCGTCAGCCAGTGGCAGCAGGAGTCCAAAGAGAAGGTGGTATCCCTCCTGCTGTCCCACCTGCCCCTGCTTCAGCCAGGCAACACGGAGGCCAAGTCGGAGTACATGAGACTGCTGCAGAAAGTGCTGGCCTACTCGATCGAGAGCAATGCCTTCATCGAGGAGAGCCGCCAGCTGCTCTCTTACGCCCTCATCCACCCGGCCACCACACTGGAGGACCGCAATGCACTGGCCCTCTGGCTGAGCCACCTGGAAGAGCGGCTGGCCAGCGGCTTCCGCACCCGGCCTGAGCCTACCTACCACTCACGCCAAGGCTCAGATGAATGGGGGGGCCCTGCAGAGCTGGGCCCTGGGGAGGCAGGGCCAGGCTGGCAGGACAAACCACCCCGGGAAAATGGACACGTGCCCTTCCACCCATCCAGCTCAGTGCCGCCAGCCATCAACAGTATTGGGAGCAATGCAAACACAGGTGAGGGAGTGGGGGTCCCAGGAGGCCATACCTACTTGAAAAAGGTCAAACTGGGCTCTCTCTCTTTACTTGCTCTTTGGTCCTGGGCAAGTCTCATAACTTATCCGGGGCCTCAGCTTTATGAGGCAGTGCAGAGGTTGTGAACTGACATTCCAGAAGCCATATCTGACCTACAGACTTGTTTTGTTGAGCCCAAACACATTGAAACTTTGGTTTTGTCTTATGCTTTAAAATAAATTTGGTGACATAAGAAATTGAGAATTTTCCCCTAAAACTCCAGATTTCAGCTTCTCTTAAAAAGGAAAAAAAAAAAAAAAACCTGAAAACTCAAGGCTTGTATTCCTATAGCAGCAGTAAGAAGGGGTTGAAGGATTAAATATTGTCCACCCCCTTCAAACCCTGCACATGTACCCCAGTTGGCCTCTGGCCCCACCACCTACCTCCCTTTGGGCATGTCTGACACCTGCTTGGCCTCTGAAAGTATTGAGTTAATGGCCAAAATCTAAGGTCCATTCCAGCTTAGACATGGTGGATTTGTGGATGTGGTTTCAGCTAATAGCATTGTTTCTGAGAAATCTGTGTCTGTAAGCCTGTTTATATATAAGATGTAATTCACTCTATATGGTAGTAGTAACGGTAGGTAGTGTTGAGCATTGACTGTGCTGTGAGCACTTTTCTGACATGATCTCGTTTAGTCCTGGTCACAACCTTATCATCGGCCTCATTCTATAGATGAGAACACTGAGATCCAAAGAGGAGAAGTCATAACAAGTAGTAGAACTGGCCACAGTTCAGACTTGGGAAGTCTGACACCAGAGCCTGCCTCTGGCCACAATGCTGTTCTCCAACCAAGTGGTCTAGAAAGGGCTATCTTGGTAAGCACCCCAGAGGCTGGGGTGAGCAGTAGGAGCTGGTATTCTAGTGAGTTTCTGAAATACTAGTGGAAATGAACAAGGTAAGGGAAAGCGGGATTTCCGAGACTTGGTGAGATAATATTACCTGACTCCAGGTGAGAGGTTTCCAAGATTTCACCTCAAGATGGCTGGTCCCCTTTGGCTGGCTGGTACTGGCTAAAACAAGTCAAGAGAGTGGCAGTGAAATGTCATCCATGCCAGTGGGCGGGGTGAACCCTGGGTCTCTGGTACCCAGCTCTGTGGCACCTGATACACACCCTCTGTCCCCTGAGTATCTTTCTTTCCCCAGTTTAATATGGATGTCCTGGCCACCTGCCTCCCTCCTAGGTGTTGGTAAGAATCAGGGAAAACAGGGATGGAGGGCATTACTGGCAACTCTGGCAACCCAGAGGGTGTTAGACCTTGTTTTATAGTCTCAGAGCATCATAGTTTCTGGGTCCAAATGGAGAAAATATACTAATAATGATAATTCTAGCTAAGATTATTGAGCATTCGGTCTTTTCCAAAAGCTGTTCTGAGAACTTTATACATACAGATTCTTTGGCTGAGTCACAGAAGAGTCACTTGCCCCAGGTGGTATAGCCAGCATTGAAATCCATGCAGTGTGGCTCCACAGCTCATACTTGTAACTACTCTGCTACATTGCCTCCACCTAAAAGTGACCCTCCCATAGATGCTCAGACCTCATCAATGGGAGGGGTTACCATGCAGGGTGCCCATGCATTTCTTCCTCCCCCCAATAGGAATAGCAGCTATGAAAGGACTAAGCAAGAACATTGTCAGAAAGGGGGTGTGAACCAGAAGAGAGAAAGGAATTGGGCATTCCAGGTAGAGGACATAGCATGAAAGGAAGGCACGGGGTGGCAAATTGGAGTATGCAGACATGTCTGGCTGGGATGGAGAGGTGCAGGGATTTAAATGAGTAATTGCAGTAGCCAACATCCACGTTTACTATGTGCCTGCCCCTGTGCCAAGGACATTACTTGGAAACGGAGGCAGAGGGGGCAAATAAAGTGACTTGCCCAGGATCATAAAGTTAATAGGTGGCGGAGCCAGAATTTCAGTGCAGATCTGTCTTGACTCCCAGATCTCAGTATATTAGGGCCACATTCTGGGGGGCCTTGAAGGATAGGGTGAAGCTTTTCAATTTCAAGCAGTTGCAGGAAACAGGAAACCATTAAAATATTTTTGAGTGGGGAGCAGCAAGGACTGGCCTGTAAGGGCAGGCAGGATGGGTTTGGGGTGCTGCCAAGGACAGACCAGGGTTTCTCGGAGAGTGTGAGGCCCTGGATCTCCGGCCGGCATTCCTGTTTTTATAGCCCTCATGCTGTGGCCAGCCTCCACCCCAGTGCCTGGCCAAGCAGCACTCCTCGGGAACTGCACGATCATTCCAATCAAGATAATTTCCTGCCCTCTCAGCCTTGCCTGCCTTCTTCTTGGCTGAGAGGGAAGGAGGAAGAAGCCATAGGCACCAAGACAGGCCACAGAAAAAAAGAAAAACCTATACCAAGTCCCCTAGGGCCTAGAAGGTGCCATTTTCTGGAAAACCAGAGCCTTGGAAGGAGCCCTGAGCAGAGGACCCCAGAGGTCACAGCAGAGGTGGAGGCTAGCCTTAGGGGGCTATCAGTGCACTGCCCTTTCCCTCAGGTGATTTCCTGGCTAGGAACATAGATATTGTCATAGATGAGGGAAGGTGCTTTGGAGCCTGTACCGGGCTGGTTGTCCTTCCTGGGCTGAGTTTCAGTGGAGGACTGACAGGAATTCCAGCCTTTCCATCAGAAACAAGGCTAGGGTTCTTAGGTCTGTGCCTCCCAAACTTGCTCTGGGAACTGGGGCAAAGGGCTTCTGTTCCCTGAGCCTTGATGTTCTCACCTACCCAGGGTGAGGTTTTTTGGCTTCGTTTCCTTGTCTTTTTTTTTTTTTTTTTTTTTTTTTTTTTTTTTTTTGACTTTGGGTACTTTTGGATTCCCTATGCCAAGCTTAGAGGCACCCTCAGGTCCATAGGTGCCCTCTTTTTGGCTTTTATGAAATTGAGGGCTCTTGTGTATCATAACCCTGCACCTGGTCATGGCAATACAGAAATGCGTGGGTGGGGTTGCCGTTCTACATGAGCCCAGAGTCCAGTGCAAGAGGCAGGCTAGTGATGGAGGCAGTAAATGCTAGGCTTGAGGCAGTAATACAGGGCCCCAGGGAATGCAGAGGAAGGAGTCATAGAAGAGGTAACACTTGAGTGAGGAGCAAAGGCTGAAGTGGCTGTCAGGGAAGGGTGGAAGAACAGTGAGCTAGGCAGAGGGAATAGCTCCATGTGAAGGTCTGGACGCTCGTGGAAACCTGCCCTGTCCTGAGAATGGTTCGAATCAAGTTGAATCCCTTTTCCTACCTCAGGAATGGGATGGATGGAGGGTGTGAAACATCCTGTGGAAGAAGGCCTCGATTCACCCTGAGTCACTGGGCCTCATGGGTGGCTGATTTTAGCTCAGTACCAGAAAAAAACTTTGGCAGGTGGTAAGACCCAATGACAGGGATGTTGAGGAAGCAGTTTATTTCGTTCATTCATTTACTGTACAAATACTAATGAAGCAGCTCCTCTGGGCCAGGCTCCACTGTAATTACTGACGATACAAAGATGTTGTCACAGATCTTGTATCGTAGCAGGGGTGTATACAGTTAATAAGCAGGTAAACAAATAACTAGGTAAGATCACTTCAGTTTGTCATGGGTGCTGTAAAGAAGATAAGTAAGTATCCTATGATGGAGTAACCAAGATTGGTGGTGGGCAGCTAGTCAAGGAAGGCCTCGCAAGAGATGTCATGCTTGCTTGAGATGAGATTTGAGGAAGCCAACTGCCAAGATCAGGAAGACAAGAAGAAAGCAAGTGCACAAGTCTGAGGTTGGACAGCTTGAGTGTTCCAGGAACAAATGGGGGGTGGGGGTGGGGGAGTAAAAGCTAAAAAGGCTTGAACTGACAGGTGAGCTGTGGGAGGTGAGAGGTCAAAGGGTCCAGGTCCTGCCAGGCCTTGTAGGCATGTGGAAGAGTTTGAATTTTATGCTCAGTGTGAAGGGAAGGGATTGACTTGGTCAGATTTGCATTTTTAGAAGGATCAACATGGCTTCTGTGAGGTGAATGGGGCTGTAGGAGGCAAGAAGGAAGGCAAGAAACCAATAAGGAGGCTGTGGCAGTAATTCCAACAAGGGACACCAGTGACTAGGACCAGAGTGCTGGAAGAGGAAGTAGAGAGATTCAGAGATGTGGCGGAGAGCTTGCCGATGGGTTGAGTGTGGGGAGTGAGGGAACGAGCACTATCTGGGAGGTGGTTCCCCTCACACCCCAGGGTCCCTTCCCCTTGTTGGATTCTGGGGCTGAGCGGCCATCCATGGCACCAACCAGGGGGGCACAATCTCCTGTGGTCAGATCTCCAAGCCTGACCTCTTGCCTCTCCCCCTCTGGCCAGGTCTCCCCTGCCAAATTCACCCCAGCCCGCTGAAGCGCTCCATGTCTCTCATCCCCACGAGCCCCCAGGCCCCTGGTGAGTGGCCGAGTCCGGAGGAGCTCGGGGCCCGGGCTGCTTTCACCACGCCCGACCACGCACCCCTCTCACCCCAGAGCAGCGTGGCCTCCTCTGGCAGTGAGCAGACGGAGGAGCAGGGCTCCAGCCGGAACACCTTCCAGGAGGACGGCAGTGGCATGAAAGGTATGACAGGGGAGGGCAGCACTAGGACCCTCTGAAGAGAGGCTTCTGCATGGCTTAGAGGACAGAAGGGAGCTGGAAGCTTCCAGCTTCCACCTTCCTGTCACCCTCTACCCTGCCCTAGGCAGGGACAGGTCTGAGGGGAGGAGAGAGTCCCTGCCCTTAAGGCTCAAGACTGAGCAGAGAGATCCCCACAGGCCCTAGTCTGATGTGGGAGAAATCCGTGCCCTCAGACACCCTAGCCTGACAAGGAAGCCAGGACAGAGTGGTAGCTGATGGAACAGAGCTTCTAGGAAGACTTTTAGGGACATCGATGAGGCCATCCTAGTACATATCCAGTCGAACAGCTCAGGAGGGTCAGATGTCCTGCTGTCAGGGAAGGCCACCTACAAGGGTGTGGCTGGGCAGAAGTGGTTTTTGGACCCTTGGCTTCCGCTTACTCCTCCCAGTTTTCTGCATCTTTAATGTTGCCTCTGGTTTATTCCTGGTTCCTCCCCACAGTCCTCCCTCTGCCCTGGTCACAAGGGCCGGACTCCTGACCTCTTGCTCTCCTTTTCCACAGATGTACCCTCATGGCTCAAGAGCCTCCGCTTGCACAAGTACGCAGCCCTCTTCTCACAGATGAGCTACGAGGAGATGATGACACTGACTGAGCAGCACCTGGAGTCTCAGGTGAAGCCAAGGGGACCATCAGGGAAGGTGTTGGGGGTGACACCATTTTGACAGTACTCTTGAAGCCCAAGCCTCTTGCATCTCCTCAGGCCTTGTTGGGGCACCCCAAAGTATCTATCCCCTTCTGCCCCTACCACAGAATGTCACCAAAGGTGCCCGCCACAAGATAGCCCTCAGCATCCAGAAGCTGCGTGAGAGGCAGAGCGTCCTCAAGTCCCTGGAGAAGGTGAGGACCTGGTATCCCCGTCTTCAAGGCCAGCCGGCTGCCCACTGGCTCTGGGTAGCCTCCCCTTGGGGCCTTCACAGCCCTCAGGTCTGATGTCCAGTGGCCCCAGCCCTAGGGAGGGAGGCCAGGAGCAAGTCAGATCACCGGGGTCACTTGCTTGTGGCTGAGAGGCTCCCCTTTTTGTCCTGGTCTTTGTCTCCAGACTTTGTTAACTCGGTCCCTTCTGTTCCCTCTCTTTTCCATTTCTTAGTGGTATTTCTGGTGTCTGATGTCTGATGTCTCCCTGTGTGCATGATCTCTCTTTCCGTTTGGTTCTCATCCACTCGCTCCCCTTCCGTATCTGCCTCAATTTGCATTCCTGTCCCCTTTTCCTGCCACTTGACTTCTGCTTCCCACCCCCACCCCCAGTGTCTTGATCTGAATCTCTGGGTCTGAATCTGGTCCCATTCTTGGCGGGACCCTGAGACCCCAGCATCAGACCTCCTTGAGCCCCATGGAACGTCACCTCGAGGGGGGAAGAAGGATATGCATATACAGATGTGTACGTATGTGTGAGCGTGTAGTGCCCTTACTTCCTTTCTCTAAGTGCTAGGACCCAGGGTTCCACCAGCCCTCTCCGATCTCTGTCTGACCTCGCTTGTATAGTCATTCTACGTAGCTGTGGGGGTCAGCATGTGACCCTGTCTGTGTCCTCCCTACTCAGGATGTGCTGGAAGGAGGGAATCTGCGAAACGCTCTGCAGGAGCTGCAGCAGATAATCATCACCCCCATCAAGGCCTACAGCGTCCTCCAAGCCACCGTGGCTGCTGCCGCTGCCGCCACCCCTACTGCCAAGGATGGGAGCCGGGGGGAGCCACCACTGCCAGGTGCTGAGCCTCCCCTGGCTCACCCCGGCACAGACAAGGGCACTGAGGCCAAGGACCCTCCAGCTGCAGAGAGCTACCCCCCTCCACCAGCTCCAGCTCCCACTGATGGCAGTGAGCCAGCCCCGGCTCCCGTCGCCGACGGAGACATCCCCAGCCAGTTTACACGGGTGATGGGCAAAGGTGAGACCCCCCCCAAGGCCCCTCAAGAAGTTTGGGGACAGGGAGCCAAGTGAACCAGTCGTCAGGGATCCAATCCAAGTTAAATGGTGGGAACAGCTTTTTTAGAGTACCCTGGGAACTAGATCACTTCAGAGAGTAGCTGAGACTGAAAGTAGCAAGTGTGTCCAGAGCAGAACGTCTGCCCTCAGGTGTGTCCAGGTTGATGGTACGAGACAACTTTTACTTACCTTCAGAGTGTCTCCAGCCCGAGCAGAAGACCAGACAGTGTGTCGGTGGAAGTGGTATACAGTCGGTGCGAGGCAAACCCACGGCTTCTTTCACAAGGAACTAAAGTCCACAGACGGATATGTTGAAACTCATAACGGGCTCAGCCTTTCCTAAGGCAGCATGGCATAGCAGATTTTACACTTGGGTCCATATCATTTTAGCTGTGTGACCTGGGGCAAATGATTCAACTTCTCTGTACCACTCTGGTGGGCTTTTATATCCTAACGATAGCCAGGGGCTGTGCTTGGCACATAGCTAGAGCTCATCCAGCCTGAGTTTCCTCTTCCTCCGATGCTGGCCGGCAGGGACCGGGGGAGCTAGACTATGGCAGGGGACGTGCTGGGGCCGACCTTCCTCTCCCCTGTCCCACAGTGTGCACCCAGCTGCTGGTGTCCCGACCAGACGAGGAGAACATCACCAGTTACCTCCAGCTCATTGAAAAGTGCCTGACTCATGAGGTGAGGCCTTCTCTAGAGTCCCAAGAAGGGAAAGGCTGCCCTGTCCCTCTCAGGATCCACATCCCTCATGTGGTCCTCAGGGCCCTGCCCGGCTGGCACCCACCCTCGTCTCTCACCGGTGTTGGCTTCAGTGGGTACCCTGTGCTCTCCTTCTCAGAGCCTTAATACCTATTCCTTTTTTGGGAGCCAGTTTCCCCTCCCTGCTGCTGGTCCCTCGGCTCTCATTTCCAGCGTATACACCTCAGGAACGCCTTCACTGGGCCTTCGTGGCAGATCAGTCTTCTGCTCCTGGGCCTCTCCCTCACAGGGCTCGTCACAGTTTAGATCACGTGTGTATTATCTTCTCAACTAAACTGTGAGCTCTGTGTGCACAGGTCACCCCTGCATCCCAGCATTGCCTGGCACCGAGCAGGCGGTCAGTAAATGAGTGGGTGAGTGGAAGGCAGATCTGAAAGCGTACCCTCCCTGCCTCGCCCTCCCAATCCTAGGCGTTCACGGAGACGCAGAAGAAACGGCTGCTGTCCTGGAAACAGCAAGTGCTGAAGCTCCTGCGGACCTTCCCGCGCAAAGCCGCACTAGAGATGCAGAGCTACCGGCAGCAGAAAGGGTGAGTGGGGGGTGGGGGCTGGGGCGCAGGGACCTTCCTTCTCTGGGCCCTCGTTGGTGGATGGAGAGCGCGGGGAGGGTCACTGGCGTGGCAGGCCGGGAATTGGTTGTCCTCATTCAATCCGCTGAGTGGCCTTACACGAGTCACCCAGTGAAGACTCTCCCAGAAGAAAATCAGGGTGTGTTCTGACCACCAGAACAGGGTGCCGAGCTGGCAAAAAGCAGCACCCATCCCTTTGCCTGTCCCTTGTTCTCGCCTCCATGCAGGGGGCTCTGAGGTCCCTTCTCACCCCAAATAGCAAATATCGCATTTGAGAGTTGAAGTTAGGAGAAGTGCTGTAAGTGGATGTGAGGAGACCTTTGCTCCTGTCTCCATCCTGGGGGTACCTTGGGGCAGGAGAAGAGAGCGTGTGTGATGCAAGGGCTTGGACGGGGAGTCCTTGCTCGGAGCAGGTCTGTGTTCTGTCCTTCCCATGGGGATTGTGGGGGGAAGTGAGGAAGGGACGGACAGAGGGGCCCCATCCCCATCCACCTAAACTGACACCCTGCCTTCTGTCTCACAGCTGGGCGTTCGGCTCCAACTCGCTTCCCATAGCTGGCTCTGTGGGGATGGGGGTAGCCCGGCGGACCCAGCGGCAGTTCCCCATGCCTCCCCGGGCCCTCCCGCCCGGCAGGATGGGCCTTCTGAGCCCTTCGGGCATTGGGGGCATCTCCCCGCGACATGCCCTCACTAGCCCCAGTCTTGGGGGCCAGGGCCGACAGGTGAGCCGGTCGGAAGCAGAGGACGTGGCACTTCTGGGTTTGGGGTGGTGGTGCCTGGGCCGTGTGTGTCCATATCTCTGCATCTGGGCCTGGCGTGGAAGGGAGAGGCTCCTTTGCCAGCTCCGTGGCGCCTGGGCCTGGGACTCTTCCCTCTCAGCTCACCATTTTCTCTTTTCCCGTGCCCCGTGCAGAACCTGTGGTTTGCCAACCCCGGAGGCAGCAACAGCATGCCCAGCCAGAGCCGCAGCTCTGTGCAGCGCACCCACTCCCTCCCGGTCCATTCGTCGCCCCAGGCCATTCTCATGTTCCCTCCAGGTAAACTGCCCCTACCCATGGGGCTCTGCCTCAGCGACACCCTAGGTGGCCTTTCTCTCAATCCGATTCCCACTGTCCTTTCTCATCTGCTCACCTCTCCTTATACCTCCCGCCACTCTGCACCCATCTTCCCACATCATGGGTTTTCTTGTACCCTCCCCCATCCCACTTCAATTTTCTTTCTCAGATCCTGTCTGCTTTCTCTCAGTCTTTCTCTCCCCTACTCCCAGCCCTGCATCTCCTCACCTCTCCCTCCCTGTGTTGCAATCTTAAGGTCCTTCTTGGTCTCTATCACCATCTCTTTAGAAGTTCATTAAATACTCAGTCTGGAAGGGGTGGAGGGGATGAGACAGAGCGTCAAGGCCTCTATGGAGAGGAGTCCTGCCTGTCAGTGCACTGGGAACCAGTGGGAATTCTTTCAGGCAAGAACCAGGCAAGAGTCAGTTCTTGGATCAGGTCTACACTAAAGGATGGTGTAAGAGAGCGGTTTTCTCTCTGTTCACAGGCCAGCCTAGAGGTGAGAGAGCAGAATGAGGTGCAGTGGGCAAAAGGGAGGTTAGAGGAACGCTAACCTTGCCTTGCTCGTCAAGTGGGGGGGACCCCGCCCTGGGCCGTGCTGGGCCTGCTGCCGGCCATCGAGGCCACAGAGGCAGATGCGGCTGGTCTGGAAAGGGCTGCCTCTGGAGAGATCTTACGTTTGCGGCTGAGGGTGGCGCCTGGCTGGCTCATCAGTAGAGCATGCAACACTTGACGTTGTGGTTGTGAGTTCGACCCTCCACATTGGAGGTAGAGTTTGCTCAAAAAAAAAAAAAATTTTTTTTTAATGTTTTATTTATTTTTGAGACAGAGAGAGAGCATGAGCAGGGGAGGGGCAGAGAGAGAGGGAGACACAGAACCCGAAGCAGGCTCCAGGCTCTGAGCTGTCGGCACAGAGCCTGATTAGGGGCTCAAACTCACAAACTTTGAGTTTGTGAGATTATGACCTGAGCCGAAGTCGGACACTTAACCAACTGAGCCACCCAGGCGCCCCCCCCCCCAAATTTTTTTAATTAGATTTGCAGGTGACCCTAAGCTCTTTGTGTCATAAACTGCCAAATCGGTGGAGATTTTTAATTTAGGAGATTACATGAAGTGCCATCTGTCACAGGCAGAGGCCCTGCCATTGTGTTCATCTTAGCCTAGGACTTGGCACGTGGTGGGCCTCTGTAACTGGTGCTAAATGGCTGGATGGATGAAGTGCACGAGCAAAAAATTGAAACCGTTCTTTTTACGGGCGTGCTCTGTGCTGCGCTGTGTGTCCAGCAGCTCTCCTGCGCTGGCAAATCAGAGCCTCCCGGCTGCACACATGAGGGCGCTGGTGTCATTCCCATCAGATCAGTCGTGAATCTGACACTCAGGTGACTTGCCCAAGGTCAAAACATTTTTTTGTTAAGGAGAGACAATTAGGTGTCTTGACATGGTCTGAGCTCAGGGTTCACTGGGAATGTGACGACAGGTGAGGCTGGAGAGGGGAGCAGGTCCTCTGAACTCAGGCAGAAAGCTCAGGCTTCCTCCCTGTAGCAGTGGGGAGCCAAGGGAAGGGTTTTAAGCACTGCAGGGTGGGGTCAGGGCGGCTCAGGGAGGTGGGTTGTTTCACCAGAACAGGAGACCCTTTTGAGAGGTGGTTTGAGGACAAGCCCCATGGCTGCTGTCCTGATTTGCCCCGCCTGCTGGGCCTGCCCAGATGACATCCAGCCCAGAGAAGCAAGTCCAAGTGGGGATGGGAAGGGTTCTAATGAAGCTTCTGCACCAAATACAGAGTCCAGGAGCCCGGGGCTGCCCAGTGCCTGGGGCAGATGCCCAGACTGTGCCTAAGGCAACATGTAGCGTGTGGCCTCCAGGAAGCTCCCTCAGCTTCACATCACTTCCTCGGTCAGCTGATCATGCTTTGTCTGCATTGCTAAGCCTCTGCCTGCGCCATGACGCACCCAGGCCCGTCTGTGTCCTTCATCTCTGCCCGGTCATACTTTCCGTCTGGTGTGTGCCATGTCTCACGCAGTTTTTCGGTCTCTTGCCACTCTCTCCCTCCCTCCTTTCCCTCTTATCCCTGTCAGCCCCTCCCCCATGCCAGCCCATCCAGTCCTTTGTCTCCTGGGTTCTGCTTCCCACCTCAGTTCAGTCCTCACGCCTCCCTTCTCTCTCGCCCTCAGACTGCCCGGTCCCTGGGCCTGACCTGGAGATCAATCCCACTCTGGAGTCTCTATGTCTGAGCATGACAGAACACGCCTTGGGTGGTGAGCATTTCCTCTTTCCCTGACCCAGCTCCCACCTACCCAGCAGCGTCTCCACCTCTGAACTGAGCAACTCAGAGCAACCTGAGGGGTCCCTAGGGGAGGCCAGCCTCCAGGGAGGGCCTGACTGGGATGACAGGCTACCCGAGCGCCTTTTCTTGGGCCTCCCGCCAGTTCCTGATCTTCCTCCCTTCCTCCCTTTCTTATCACAGATGGGACAGACAAAACCTCCACCATCTGACGGGACCCACAGCCCAGCGCACCCATAGGCTCCCTGGGCGGCGGGCGGGGGCCAACCCCCAACGGGCTTCTCCGCGACAGCGAGAGGGTGGGCTGGCTCAGCTATACATTCTAGTATTTTTCTACTCTCTCACCCTTTTAACTTTTGTTTAACGTTGGCACACGCCTTGCTCACTCCCAGGCCCGTCAAGGGGTCTCTGCTGAGGCTCAGGGAGGTAGGGGGCAGCCAGGATAAAGGGGCAGGGACTGGCCAGCCCGACTGCCCCTCCTTCCCTCCCTCGTTCCCCCACCCGGCCCCGTCCCACCCCTGCCTCCTCCAGACTGCCGGCCCCCTGCCCCTCCCAGGGGAGCAGCTCCCCCCTATCTTGTGGGGCCTGCTCAGAACCATCTGACATTTGTGGAGAGAGAAGTGGGGTACATAACCTGCTCTCCTGGATGTTATTTGGGAGGGGCTGAGGTGAAGGTGGTGGATGAGTGGAGGAGCCTCTTTTCCTCTCCTCTCCACCTTCTTCCCCATTCTCGTCATTCGCAAGGACAGGAGCCACCCTCCTTTCCCTCACTTCCTTTTGCCCTGTTTATCAGAGGTTCTCTACAATTAATTTCTTAGGCCTATTTAAGATGCATATTTATATAGTTCTTAACGGTTTTTCTCTCTGATCATTCCCTCTCATTTTTAGAATCCCCAGGCCTCTGAGCCAAGAAAGTGGCAGGGGGAGCCTGAATTTTACAAGGGGAGAGGGCAGAGCCCCCTCCTCCAGACCCCCTAGCCCTTCCCCACTTCCCCCCAGCCCGGGCTCCCCAGATGCAGCGGTTGAAGGCCGGGAGCCAGGGCAGCGAGTGAGGTCAGGAAGTCTGTTGCCTTAACATCCCCTTCCCGCAACCAACACACCCTTGTCCACTCCCGGGTCTGGTTGCTAAAGACTTGGGGGTAAGGAATAAGGGAAAGGGGATTGTTTGGTTTTTGGTTTCTTTCCCCACCCCGCTTTTTCTTTCATCCTTCCCCTACCCCCCATTCCGTCATGACCTCACTTAAGTGAAACACTATATCATAACCCAGAGATTTGTCCCAGCCGTGGAATCATACAAACCCTCTGGTCTCTGTTCCTGCTGAGGGGTTGTGCTGGGGCCCAGGTGGAGGGAGGGGATTTGGGGGTTCAGGCTGTGGGGAAGCCAGGGTCCCCTATTCCAACCCCCTCTTCCTACTCAACCCACCCCACCCCCCTCACTGGGACATTCTCAAGCTTTTCACACCGAAAAGGAAAAAAAAAATGTTATTTTTAGATACATTTTATGAATAACTTTTGTTATGAATATGGCTGGTAACCATTGTGTATGTTATTAAAGATACAAAATGTTGGGAAAAAACAAAAAACCAAAAAAAAAAAAAATTTTAAAA